AGTAGTCAACCAACACCCCCAGGTCCTTCTCCGCCAGGCAGCTCCCAAATGATCATTCCGGAATTCGGAACACTGGGAAAGATTACAAACGTCCTTCCTCGAAGCTCTACGGCAAAACCAGCTGGAGCACATCGCAGATGCTACAGGGGAAGACGAGCTGGAAATCCTGCACTGCCCGTGCCTGAACCAGCCCTGCTCTGCCACGCTGGCCACAAACAGCCTGAGGGACCCAAATAGCCGACGCGCAGACTCCGGCACTAAGAAAAACAGTTTTCAGAAGGATGGATCCGCTCTCAGAATAAACAGCAAAAAGAATTCCATTTCTTAAAGACAGAAAAACCCAAACCCCCTTGTTCCCAGTCTCGAAAAGGAAAAAAAAGCAGCAAATTCTCACATTCAGCACTTCCTGCCGTAGGGTCGCGGGCTCCACGCAGCTGATCAGACGCAGCAGGAGGTCCATCATTGCTGATGTATCTATATGCTTTAGCACCAGGCTAATAAATTTGTCTTTTTTCCTTAAAAACGCAATCACCTAAAAAGAAAAAAGCGTCAACATCAGTTGTTAGTACAACGCCCAGACACGGCACACAGAGCTGCCTACACCTCGCCTTGTCTCAACCAACCCACCTCAGAGAATCACAGAAGGGTTTGGGTTGGGAGGGATCTCAAAGCTCACCCAGTTCCAACCCCCTGCCATGGGCAGGGACATCCTCCACCACACCAGGTTGCCCAAAACAACAAAATCTCGATGCAAAACAGCTGCCAGGTTGAGAAATTCTCCAGAGAACAAGAGGAGAGAGCAACATCCTCGTTTCAAGGTGATACTACACGAAACGTCTCTAGCCATCTTTTCTCTCCTCTGTGCCACAAAGAAACCCAAGCCCACAGAAGTAAGAGCATCAAGAAGCTGGTGAAGCTGGAGAATCTTCCGTTCCACTAAGGCGCTCCGACAGCCTTCGTTTGAAAAAACCCAATTTTGAACTGGAACACATGTACTCCTGAAACACTGTTCAGCTCATGTTTCCAGTGCCCCTTTTACAGGGAGACTGAGGCGTTGTGCATGCAACGAGATGCTGCTGGGCAGCGACCAAGGATGCTCCGACATGCCCCTCCGTGAAAAACAACGCTTCAGGTGGGGCACAGGAACATCCCGGCTACTGCGGGTGCGACACCAAACCTGCGCCAAGGAGTCTACAGGAGCCAGCAACCCCCTCAGCTGAGGGATCTGAAGGACTTTTGGAAGCCCACATTTCAACTGCAATCTTCAAGAGTACAAGGAGTTGTTTTCAACTCTAAGAATCATAGAATCATAGAATGGTCAGGGCTGGAAGGGACCTTCAAAGGTCATCTAGTCCAACCCCCCTGCAAGGACTGTTCCTTGATGAGGAAGATATCCTTCCTGGATATCTTCAACTAGATCAGGTTGCTCAGGGCCTCGTCCAACCTGGCCTTGAACATCTCCAGGGATGGAGCATCCACCACCTCTCTGGGCAACCTGTTCCAGTGTTCTACAACTGTGAGATCACGAGGGTGGCAACGATGCTGCCGTACATCACGAACGCCGTGAGCGAATTAATCTGTGCCCACGTCTCAGGACTAATGTAATCACTACCTGTTCCGTTTTTCTGGCGATGAGATTCCCAATAGTCTTACTGAAGAAACTGGCAAGCAAAGGGTTCAAAGGAGGCTCGTGATCCAAGAAGTCATAGAGGATGTTGAGCAGAGTTTCGTCCCCTCCGAGCTTGTCGTTGATCTGCGGCACATCCGAGGTCAGCAGTTCACAGGCTGTGTTTGGGTACCTGGAGGGACAGAACCAGAGCAACTGGAGGCGAAATGAAAACTCTCAGGAGAGCCACCTCTTATTGGAGTTATAAAGCAAAGAGCAGGAGCACCACCATTCCCAGAGCCAGGGGGAAAGCCCACCACAGGAGAAAGGAGGGTCACCTCCACTAGGGGCACGTTGTAAGGAAGCGCTGGTTCCTGTAGCACCTCGTGGGCAATTTTTAACCACGGAATTACGTATCTCGGCTGCCTTCCGACTGCAGTTAGCTCTGATTTTCAAAAGTGATGCTTAACCAGTTTCAAAACACTTAAAATCTTTTCATATGGATCCATTCGCACCATTAAAATTAACCCAAAAGTTGAAGGTTGACCTGAACGCATTTTTAGCAGGTTTCCGCAATATTTCCTTAAATTATTTTTTCCACTACTGCAGCTGAATTAAATATGAACTTTTTTTTTTTTTTTTTAAATCAAGAGGACTAGAATTTAGAGACAGAACATTAGATCTAACACCGACCTCCTGGCAAATGAACATACACTATGGACAGGAGCAAACAATTCACAGCCAACATTTTGAGCTCCAATTTTCAGTAGTGTCTACAGCCTTCTGTACGATTCAGTTGTTCTTCAGAAAACACTAGTGCCTGGTTTAGATAATTTTCACTAGTGCCTGGTTTAGATAATTCTGCTCATCCAAATCGGAATATGAAGTTATGCTTGACCGCTAACTCAATCCTTTCTTTTCCTGACTTTGTTCCTTGCTCTTCCAGGTGGGGCTTTTAGAAACAGGTCACATTTATGGTCAGAAAAGGTAACAGCATGTTTATAATTAATTAACTATACATTTACAATTAGACAAAGTCTCAAATATCAAAGTGCACAGATACAAAACAATAATCTAAAAATCAACATAAGAAAACTCTTTTTGGGGACTCAGTTTTGCTAAGTGACCAAGTTTCTTCAGGCTGAGCTCCTGCCTCAGAAGCCAGCTGTCCCGCAGGGCTCCACCGCACCGTTCTGCAAACATCCCCTGGATCCAGCCTCTCCGTTGCTCACGCGATGCAGGAATTACCCAGGGGATGGGCGGCTGTCTCACACGCACGCTGCGACACTGGAATTCCCCTAGCCATCTTTTATTCTTTTTAAACTTCATTTCAGCATCTCACTGTTAGATCAGTGTCTTAATCTCACGTTCCAGCCACTGCCCATCTATGGAAAAGGTGTCTGAGAACTCGCCAGGACAGACCTGTTGCCCATCACACAGAGGTTACTGGAGCAGAAGCAGCAGTTTGTCAAATTCTACCTACCACGGAGCT